GGACTGAAAATTCAAGGCCGTCCTCCCCCAGCCAGCACACAGCCTCTCACCTATGACACCCAGACCCGGGACCACCTGCCCTGGGAGAGGGGGCGGCGCCAAGCACCCTGACCTGCCCGGGCAACAGCTGCCGGGCCAAGGGGGGGGAGCTCCTTTAAATCAACCCAAGAGACAGAGAGCGAGACAGGAACAACAAAGCTGGAGCGATGGGGAAAGGGACAGGATGGAGAAGGGGTGGGGGATGGAAGAGGGGCAGGGGGGAAACAGCAGAGCAGACCCCTGCAAACGGACACACACACACACACACACACACACACATCCCACAGCCTTTACTAGGGAAAAGTGTGGCAGATGCACCACTGCGATCCTGTGGGTTAGAGGGCAGGGGGGAGGGTCTGGGAGGCAGGACTCCTGGGTTCCGTCTCCAGCTCTGGGAGGGGAGTGGAGTGGAGTCTAGTGGTGAAGGTGGGGAATGAAGGCAGGGGGTGGGGGGGTTGGGAGCCAGGATGCCAGGGTTCTATCTCTAGCTCTGGGAGGGGTGTAGGGTCTAGTGGGTAAAGCAGGGGGGCTGGGAGGCTGGACTCCTGGGTTCTGTCCCCAGCTCTGGGAGTGGAGTGAGGTCGAGGAATTATAGATGGAGGGAACGGGAGCCAGGACTCCTGGGTTCTACTCCTATTTCTGGCAGGTGAATGGCATCTAATGGTTAGAGTGGGGAGCTGGGAGTCAGGACTCCTGGGTTCTCTTCCCAGCCATGGGAAGGGAGAGGTGTCTAGTGGTTAGAGCGGGGTGTGTGTGTGTGTGTGGGGGGGGGCTCTAAGCACAGTATGCAGATGCCACCTTGATCCCTATCATTGTCCTGGATTCCTCCCCACTTGGTATTTCACAACCCCCCCCGCCAGGGTCTCGGCCTCCCTCCCCTCCCCCACAATAAGCTGAGGTCTGCAGGGGGAGAGCGACCCAGAAGCCTGGTGCATGGAGCCTAGAACTTGGGGTCTAGAGACGAGCAGTGACTCCAGGGTCTGTCTCGCCTCTGGGGTCGTCATTCACACCTGTGCAAAGCAGGTGTCCCGTTGCTCCCAATGTGCGGGGGGGGGGGGCATTTGGGCTGGGCACTGCTTTACACCCACTTTGTACACTCAAAATGATGGCACAAGAGGGCAAAGGGGGGCACAGTGCAGAGCCAAGATGCCAGTGTCTGGGGGGGGGGGGATTAAAAACCCACCATCTCTCTCCCTCCCTCAGGGACCCTACATTGTGGGGGCTGCTCCCTGGGGATCACGCCCTGCAGCGGGAGAGCGGCCACAGATGCACCAAGGGGAGCACCCTGTGATGGTCACCATCTCGGCTGAAACACCAGGGCCTGAGCTAGCACTAAGAGCAAGCTGCGTAGCTGGGGGGGTAACAACTCCCATCGCCTGTGGGTCAGCCCAGCGGGGACCCAACCGTGACATACAGTCACCCCAGGGTTCCGTATGCACACCTGCTATCAATGCTACGCACTAAACCGCCCCCACGTTCACCGAGACACACCCAGCGCCCCGGGCTAACAGACGCACCCTGAGAATCCAATCCCCGCCAGACACAGAAAACACAGACGCACACACACACGGAGCAGCTGTAAGATGTAGGCAAAAGACGCACACACGCTAAAAACACGCATGCGATCGCATGCCACGTGCCTTGATTCCCCATCGCCCTGCACCAGGTCCGGCCACTTACCCCAAATGGGTGTAACACATGGCGTTTCATGCCTATTTTGCACAGGTGCTAACACACGGGGCAGGGCAGTGTTGACTTAAAGTGTGTTATAACGGCTAAAAGCTACAGAGAACCGTGTCCATGCCTGACACACACAGTCACACACACACACACACCCAGGGAAACACACACCCGAAGGCTGCACTCCCAGCTCCATGGCTACACACTCCAATCCCAATCAGACACAGGCGCACGCGGCAATCCACCGGCACATAAAGGGCCGGGGAAGAAAAGCAGGTGGCGAAAGGGGGCGGAAAAAACAGAATAAAGGGAATCTCCGGAGACAAAGCCCCCGCTCTGCAGCATCTGCTCCCAACATTCAGAAGGGAGGAGGCAAGAAACAAAGTATCTGGCCCCCTCCCTCCCCAGGCAAAATACACTTGGATTCTGTGTTTGTGCGGCGGGGGGGATGAGGGGAAGCTAGTGGAGGGGGGGAGGACAAGCAGGAGATGTCGCCCTCTCTTTCGAGCGTGGCACAATGGGGTGGGAAGATGTGGAGGGAGCAAATCCGCCCCCGGTGGAGCTGGTGGCTTGGTGGGAGATGCCCGCGAGGGTTGCTATGGAGATGCCAGGCAGCCTCGCTCCTCCCAGCCTGGCGCCGTGGGTCCATCAGGCTTGTTTTTCCCACCCGGAGGCACGGAGGGGCGTTATTATTTGCCCTTGTTGTTCTTCGAGGGACGGGAGACCTTCCCCGGCCGCGCCCTGGGCATCCCGGGCACTTCCTCAGCCAGCTCCTGCTTCCCTGCTAGTCCCCCCTGCAGGGCGTTGCTCCCGGGCAGGGCTGGGGTCCCCGGTTCACCGCCCCCCATTCACGGAAGGGAGGAAATCTCAAGTCACGCTCTGTATGGAAACCGCCCCCCTCCTGGACATAGGGAGCCAGACTGGGGGGTCAGGCCTCCAGGGCGGGGGGAGACCTTCGGCCTTTGTGACTTTCCATCAATAAGCCAAGGCAACGCGGCCTGGACAGCTGAGGTCCTGGACCCGGCTGTAGACAGGCCAAGCCCCTTCACCATCGGGGGGTCCAAAGGAAGTCGGGGCTCTGCTCACTGCCTGCCTGGGGCTGGGGAGGGTCCCATACGGCTCCCTGGCTTCCCCAGGGGTTGGCAGTCCCTAGAAGGGTCGGCATCACACCCAGGAGAGGATCGAAAGCCCTGGGGCAAACTAGGCCTCAGTTCTGTCTTTGCCAGGCCCCCACCCCTGACATATTGGCACCTTGCCCAGCCTTTAGTGCACGGATCCTCATGCCGCTCTGTGGGGCAGGGAAGGGCTGTTCCCCCATTGTGCACAAGGGAGTGGTGGCCCAGAGAGGCCCAGATCCTCATTGGTGTTTAGAACCAAACTGCCATCCAGAGGCCCTAACAAAGGGACGGCGTCTGGGCCCCAACGGCTTAAAGGCCCTGGGACCGCATCCGGGCGGTGGCCGGCAGGATCAGTGGCAGATGCGGGGCAGTGGTGGGGAGTTAGACGCCTCAAGACCTTTGAGGATCGGGGCCCTGGGGACTTGCACCAGGCAGTCTGGGATTCAGGCCCCGCGGCCTCTGAGGTGTCTGACTCTGTTGATCTCTGAGTCACCCTGGGCCAGACACCCGGACTGGGAGACACCAGGCTAAAGATCTTTCCTGCAAGGACCCACCAGAGCCCCCAAGAGCTCAGCCCTGCCAAGGACCCCCGAGCATTGGATCCCCAGGGAGCTGGAGGAAGGAGGGGGACAAGCCGCAGCCCCAAAGGTTACTGCGGGAGGGAGCATGAGACCAGGCAGAAAAATGGAAATCCTGAGCAGTGCGGGGCACCTTCCTCTACCACCGATGCCATTGAGGGGGCTCCTTCGTGGATCAGCCAGGTCCCCGGTGTCTTTACGTCCCACTCGCTCCCCGGACACCCCAGGGAAACAGCAAGTCCTACAGGCTGGGCCTGTTCGGCAGGGAAGACAGGACACGTATTGCTACAGGACACGGAGGCGTGGAGCTCCCATTTGACAGCCGTCATATTAAAGTGATTGAGATCCGCCAAGCCCGCTCCTGGGCGCACATTTGTGTGTGGTCCATCAGCAGCAAATTTCCCATCAGTCAGAATCCTGACGCGTTTCCAGACGCGCCCGGCCCGGGCACACCAAGCTGGCGGAGGGCAGGGGGAAGCTGCGGACAGCCTCCTGATAATTCGCTGCACTGCTAGGTGCCCAAGCAAAGGGCCACGTCTCCGCACGAGCCCCCAGTCCCTGTTCAGGACTGGGGGTGGCCCCCCACTACCAGGAGTCAGGACAGTGGCCCCCCACTACCAGGAGTCAGGACAGCTCTGGAAGAGGAATGTGATACAGCTAGGCAGGGAAGCGACACTCCAGGACTCCTGGGTTCTATACTTGGCCTTGGGGGAGTTTGCTTTCACTGCTAGGTGTCACTGGTTCAAAGCCCTGCTCCGCGCAGACTAGCTGGCGGTGCTGTCAGCGGTTTGGTGGCCCCTGAGTGAAATGAGTTTGTTGGGCCTCAGCACCGGGCTCTGTCCCCTAGAAGTGGGGGTCCCTGGACTACTTCTGTGCCTGGGACCATGCACAGGACTTTGCTCTCTATGTCTGCCAACCCGGCACTCAAAATGCTCCAAAGCCCATTCAAACCGACTGGCAGAGCCCCAGGGCACAGACGCCCGCCTGGCACCATGACAGCACCCACCGGCCGGCACCCTGAAACTCCCAGCCGGCGACGCGCAGCCCTTTGAAGAAAGCAAGAGAGCCGGCCCCAAACTGCCTTTCCGTCAAGATTCAGGAGCTGGAAGCAAGTCACCTTGGGCGGAGGGCAATATGGGGGAGAGGCAGTGGCATGATCAGAGCTCCGACGACGCTGGCAGGCAACCAACGCCCGTGGGCGGGAGGGTGTCACCCCCCTCTCCTCCCATAGTCCTTTCCCTCCACCTCCCTCGCCTGAGCCAGGCAGAGCTGGTGCCCCCATGGGAAATCGATCCCTCCCCTCTCCCCACGCCAGTGACAGGGCCCAAACCGCCAACCCAGACTCCAATCAAACCCGTATCAGGCGCGTGCTGGGAGCTCACCGAGGAGATTTTATAGAGAGGGCCATCTGGTTATCGCAAATGCTAACGAACTGGGGGTGGGGGTGGGACATGACACACACAATAAAACCGGCGCTGGAGGTTCACGCTGACGTTTGGGCAGCTGTAGCCAGAGATAACAGAGAGACTCCCCTGTCCGACTCCCTCCCCCCCCCGCCCTCCTTTATCGCCCTGCAAGGACTCACCCCTGGGAGCGTTTTCTGCTCATGCAGCGCGCTCTGCGCCTTGAGGGCCGATTCCCGGGCGCAGTACGTCAGGAACGCGCATCCTGCAGGAGAGAGAAAGCAGAGGGGAAGGGTCACGGGCGCCTCGGATCCCTGCCCCCCAACACGACGGATCCCCCAATCCTCCCCCCACTTTAAAGGGCTCCTGGGATAAAGGGACAGTAGCGAGGGGGTGCTGGGCTCCCACGGGCCAAAGGGGGAACCGTGAACCCAACTTCCCAGGCTGGAAGATGGGGGGCTGGGACTGAGCCAAGCCCTAATGTGACAGCGAGGCTGGCAAGGCCCATACCAGCCCCATGTCTCCTCCTTTGGATTGGCTCAGTACAATGCATCTGCCTGGGGACGGGGGTTGGGATTTTCCCGGGGGGGTTGGAAGGGAAGGGGGAAAGAAAGGGGATAAGCCACTAGGCTGACATTCGGGAGATCTAGGATCAGTTCCCAGCTCTGCCACTGACTCCTGCATGCCCCTGGGCAAGTCTCTTCGGGCCAGATCCACAAAGGGGATTAGTGCCTAACTCCCATTGGTGTCCATGGGAGTTAGGTGCCTAATTCCCTTTGAGGATCTGGGCCTTCGTCTCTCTGAGCCTCAGTGCGCACAAAGGGGATAATACGAGTTCTTGTCTGTTTTGATTGCAAGCTCTCCGGGGCAGGGGCGGCCTCCCACTCTGTTTGTACAGCCCCCAGCGCCATGGGGCCTGGACTCGCTGGGGCTGCTACTATACAGGCCCGAGAGCTACAGAGCAAGGGGCTGACGGAGGAAGGAACTGAAAGGGACAAGCGGAAAAGACAGAGCGATGTCAGGGGGCCCATCAGAGCGCAGTAAGCGACGGACACGGATACTAGAGAGTCTGGGGGACCCTCCTCGGGCGCCTTGAAATGAAAGACAGGCTCTGCCCTACGGAGCTTACATAGCACGTTTCCCCAGTCACCACCCTTCTGCTGTCCATTTTTAATCCTTATTTCACAACAGAGAACATCCCGACTTTTGCTCTCCACCCTACTGCAGCTGCTATCGCAGTAGCGGATGTTCTCCTTCAAAGGCCCAGCTCCTGGATTCATGTGACTAGAGGAGAATCTTAGCTTTCATTTAAAACAAAAATCCCGGTAAGTTTCTAGCTCTCCTGGTTACCGCGGGTAACTTGAAAATGTGAGCCGGGAGCACCTGAAGAACCAGGAGACAAAGAACATAAGAACGGCCACACAGGGTCAGACCAATGGTCCATCTAGCCCAGTATCCTGTCTGCCGACAGGGGCCAGTGCCAGGTGCCCCAGAGGGAATGAATAGAACAGGTAATCATCCAGTGATCCTGTCGCCCATTCCCAGCTTCTGGCAGACAGAGACTAGGGACACCACCCCCGCCCATCCTGGCTAATAGCCATTGGTGGACCTATCCTCCATGAATTTATCTAGTTCTTTTTTGAACCCTGTTATAGTCTTGGCCTTCACAACATCCTCTGGCAAGGAGTTCCACAGGTTGACTGTGCGTTGTGTGAAGAAATACTTACTTTTGTTTGTTTTAAACCTGCTGCCTATTCATGTCATTGGGTGACCCCTAGTTCTTGTGTTATGAGAAGGAATAAATAACACTTCCTTATCTACTTTCTCCACACCCGTCATGATTTTATAGACCTCAATCATATCTCCCCTTAGTCGTCACTTTTCCACGCTGAAAAGTCCCAGTCTTATTAATCTATCCTCATACGGACGCCGTTCCATACCCCTAATCATTTTTTTGTTGCCCTTTTCTGAACCTTTTCCAATATATCTTTTTTGAGATGGGGCAACCACATCTGCACACAGTATTGAAGATGTGGGCGTACCAGGGATTTACAGAGAGGCAATATGATATTTTCTGTCTTATTATCTATCCCTTGCCTAATGATTCCCAACTTTCTGTTCGCTTTTTGGACTGTTGCTGCACATTGAAGTGGATGATTTCAGAGAACTATCCACACTGACTCCAAGATCTCTTTTTTGAGTGGTAACAGCTGATTTAGACCCCATCATTTTGTATGTAGCGTTGGGATTATGTTTTCCAATGTGCATTACTTTGCATTTATCAATACTGAATTTCATCTGCCATTTTGTTGCCCAGTCACCCAGTTTTGTAAGATCCTTTGTAACTCTCTCCAGTCTGCTTTGGACTTAACTGTCTTAGAATCATAGAAGGTTGGAAGGGACCTCAGGAGGTATCTAGTCCAACCCCCTGCTCAAAGCAGGACCAATTCCCAACTAAATCATCCCAGCCAGGGCTTTGTCAAGCCTGACTTTAAAAACGTCTAAGGAAGGAGATTCCACCACCTCCCTAGGTAACCCATTCCAGTGCTTCACCACCCTCCTAGTGAAAAAGTTTTTCCTAATATCCAACCCAAACCTCCCTCCACTGCAACTTGAGACCATTGCTCCTTGTTCTGTCATCTGGTACCACTGAGAACAGTCCAGATCCATCCTCTTTAGAACCCCCTTTCAGGTAGTTGAAAGCAGCTATCAAATCCCCCCTCATTCTTCTCTTCTGCAGACTAAACAATCCCAGTTCCCTCAGCCTCTCCTCATAAGTCATGTGCCCCAGCCCCGTAATCATTTTTGTTGCCCTCTGCTGGACTCTTTCCAATTTTTCCACATCCTTCTTGCAGTGTGGGGCCCAAAAGCTGTCCCCGGCTCTGGGTACTGAGCCTCGCTGAAAACTCGGCCATTTCTCTCTCTGGGCTCCCTGCCAGGGGCTCAGATACTGCGGGCCAGGGGGGACTTAATGATTGTGCCAGGCTCCATCCGCCTAGTCTGTGGGCACCTCACAGTCTTTACCATACTTATCCTTACAGCACCCCGCCCCCGGTGAGCCAGGGCAGGGCTCTTATCTCCATTGTACAGATGGGGAAACCGAGGCACGGCGAGGCCATGTAACTTGCCCAAGCTCACCCAGGGAGTCTGCAGCATTGCGGGGAGGCCAGGCTAGGGTCTCGCCCCGACCGCTGGCCCATCAGGGTCTATAATTACCCTGGCTTCTCTGCCCCTACCAGAGCTGTGGGCCATTCTACTTGTCAATGGAAAACAAGTTGACTGCTATCAACAAACTCAGCCCACTCCAGTCCCACAGTGTCAGAGTCACGGGGCCTTGCGCCCCCCCAGGAGATAAGCAGAGACAGCTTCATGGTTGATTTAACTCCCAGTGGAACCAAAAGTCCAAGGTGGCCTCCGAGGCTGAGCCCACGTTTTGGGCAGACAGGGACCACCGTGGGGATCGCCGGTCTCCTGCCATTGACCGGGGCTTCAGTGGAAAGCAGCAAACGCCAGAGTTCCGGAGCAAATTCTACGCTGAGCGGCAACGGTTGTGAATCCGGAGTCACACCACCGACGTAAGGGGCCATGCCGTTGACTCTAGTAGAGTCGCTCTGGATTTACACCAGAACTGAGATCAGAGTCTGGCCCGGGTGCCACTGATTCCAGTGACGTCCCTCTGGGTGGATCAGAAGCGCACTGGAGTCACTCCCGATTTAACTGAGAGCAGGGTTGGGGCCTGGCAAATCGGGGCTGGGGAGATTAAAATAGGATCAGCCCAAGGGCCCCCCCAACCCAGATCGCAGCCCTACTCCTGACAGCCCTCCCTCTCCAGTGCAGCCTCCCCCCGCAGCAACCGCTCCAGCGATCCAACCTGGCACTTTGTCCTAGCGCCTCCAAGCAGGATATTAATGTCTGTGCCCGCCTGGCTGTCTACCTGATTCTCACAGCGAGTGGCGCAGTCGGGACTGGGGCAGGGAAATCTGGGATGGCGGGTCTCAAACCCACCTTGCAGACATGAGGGTAATACAGCACCTGTGCACACCTCCCCCTTGCTGACGTGCGGGACAGGGGTCACAAGCCCCAGACCCTCCTGCTAATCCCTGTGCTAGCCCCTTCTTCCTGTTGATATCATAGCACTCTGTACGCCTGCATCCTCCCAAGACCCCTGCAGTGCTGGCCTTTTTCATGGGGGGGGGGGAAACTGAGGCACAGAGCTGGGACATGACTTGCCCCGAGGTGTCAAGGAGTTTGTTTACACAGCAAAGAAAACTAAAATGAGTCAGTGGAAGGGCTGGAAACAGTACCCAGCCCTCCCCTGCTTTAACCACTAGACCCCACTTCCCTTCCAGAGCTGGGACAGTGGAACCCCGGAGATCTGACTCCCAGGCCCTCTGCTCTAACCACTCATCTGCACGGCCTCCAGAGGAACACGGCTCCCACCAAGGAGAGACGCAGCAGGAACCCCCAGCAGGCAGAGCAATGAAATCCCCCTCTCAATGGAGAACAGGGTGTCCTGCATTATATCCAACTCTGATAAACCCTCTCAGCTCCTGGGGAGGCAGGGAAGATGGTGTGTCCAGGGCAGAGGGGAACTTCCAGGCCTGTGATGGGCTGAGTGGAGACCTGGCTGAGTTCTGGGAACAGAGCAGCAGATCCAGGGCACGGCCCCTGCAGGCCAAGCCGGGGTGGAGGTGGGAGGACAGAGGAAGCGCGGAGAGTTGTCAGAATCAGGTGGCTTGCATGCAATGAGTTTGGCAGGACTCAGCCCAGTTCCTGAGGAGATCAGGCATCTGCAGCACAACCCCCCCCCTGCAGCTGCCACTCTCTGGCCCGGAGCCAGCAGCCCCAGCAGTGGCGGCATGGATAGAATGGGCTAACCCCGCCTCAGCCCCCCAAATGCCCCCTCTGCGGGACTTAGCAGCATATCGGCAGGGAAAAGCTTGCCCTGGCGCTGCCCTGGTGTAGACAAGGCTCCATGTCTGGGCCTGTCCCACTGGTTCCGCGCCATGCACCAGCCAGGCCGCAGCCCAGACAGCCGTGCATTCTGCAGCGCATTCGGCAAGCAGCGGTCCTGCCCTGGGGCTGAGAGCCACTAAGGGCAGGGCCTGCCCACTTATACTGTCTGTACAGCTCCTAGCATAGGGGAATCTTGATTGGGGCCCCTATGCAGGGCTGGAATAGAAACAAAGAACAGCAACAGGTGGGCTAATGGGCCTTGTCATCCCTGACTACGGGTTCAACTCACTCGGCAATAACACGGCTTTC